GGCGTTTTGCACGGTATCGTATGACTCTGAGTGTGTGATAGCTGACATGTCCCCTATAGATTTCATGGCACAAAGAAGGGCCAGGCTCTACAGACATAAGTGAGAGGGAGCAACAATTAGGAGCGTCATTAGGAAGAAAGTGAGGGACTTAACAATGGCCCAGTGGCAACGGCGATGGGTTTTATCATCCATTGGTACATGGACATTTCGTCTAGTTCCAGACGTAACGATGTGGATTTAAAGGAAAGACGGAGATGTAGATCATGATTTGACCAAGTTGTTCACGGGGCGTGGGTGCTAACATGCATACCAATTCCGTCTCCGGTTGGACGATGAATCCTCATACCCAACCTGTGACACATAGGTTAAAGATTTGGAGAACGTGTTCTTTAACTGTCCACGCTTGTCACGCACGCTACGAGAGGGAAGAACTCCACCGGCTCCTCATGCAGGTAGTGCCTCCTAAAACGATCATCACTCAGATGCTGAATTCCAAGTAGAATTGGAGAACGAGAACTACCGACGGCGCAAGAGTTTTAAAGAAGCTTCGGGTAGATGAACGATTGCGAAGGCGTTCGCGTGACATCAGTTGGCATATAGCGATAAGCCGATCTGCCCTTCCCGTGATGCTAAGCCTGACGGCGATTCCGCCGGAAGGGAATCGGAGGAATGAGGGGTTTTTAGTGGGTAATGCACAGGCTAGCGGTGAATCTTACACTCGGCGGAGTGGGGGCTCCGCAGTCTCTTTTTACCTTGCCCTCATAAAAAAAAATGAAGAACCAACCCATACATCACTTTTATTACAGTACACACATGAGTACATAACTGTGTTATGTGTACTTGATTATGTATTTGCTCATTTGTGCAACGTAATATACATACGTGTCTCGCCACATGTGCTTGTATTGAAAATATTAGTTTCTCCTTTGTATTTTGTGTGCACTGAAATTGCTAACTTGTATTTTGTTTGTGGCAGAGTATTGTGTCTTGACCTTAAGCCACCATCCTGATCCTGGATTTACTCAATCGCTTAAGGCGCATGCCGGATGGTCCCTTGTTTACAGTCCCAGGAATAAATGTAATCTCGTCAAATGTAATGAAGTCTTCGGAATAAGCTAACTGGTAAACACTTCCTAAATTTTCATAATTTTTACTTTTCTATTTCGGGGTTTAAATTGAAAACATTTCCTAAAATGGAACTGATCGTTCCCACGTTTTTATTTCGTTTTTTTACTTAATTTAATAACCAATTAATTGTATAATACATTCTCATATTATTATTGTTAATATTATTGTTATTATTTCGAAATACAATTATTATTATTATTATTATTATTATTATTATTATTATCTCGGAATACATTATCTTGTAATGTTTTCGATTTCTCTCAAGCCGAATTCTCGACTCGATGTGTTTTTTCTCGTATAGATTTATTAATAATTTTGCAATTAAGTGTGAGAACTTGGTGGCAGAATACACTAACTTAACATTACAGAACTTAACAACTATACAAACTCTATAAACGTTACACAATCACATGAACATTTCACCGTGCAATCATTCATAGAACTCCATGCAGACGATTGCAGACGATTTTCCCACCCTGTCTAGTCTTTTTTTTAAGGGGAATTCAAAAATGTGTAGGCAATCTTAGCTCCTTCAAAACCTCTGTAAAATATTTAGTAGTACTTATTAACCTTTCACTTATTTAAACAAGCTCCTTCCAATCCTCTTCTGTACCTAACTTTCTGAGTCACAAAATATAATTTCTCTGAATTTGCGTAAAGTTTCGTAGCTAATATATTTATTATTAATTTTAATACATCCCTAACTTGCAATAAACAAATTTAATCTCACAAATGCTGTGAGAGCATTCCCTTTTCTATCAACTCCATCCTCCCTCGCTTTCATCCCTGTTTTCAATGAGAGACCTCATCAAAATTGCGTAAATATTTCTCTTTGAATGGCCTTGAATTGCTTTTTCATGTACTATTGTATTAAAAATTATTTGACAGTAGTCAGGCGGAAGAGCAGGCTAAATGACCTGAGGCTCGCACCAAGAAGGACATTAATTAATTAATATCACTTTTGGGGAACATCGACTGAACGGTGGAGGTGTTTTGCGTTGACCACTGACTGACGTTTTGCCGTCAATCAATTTTTCGGTATGAAGAATCCACAAAACATGGATTCTGACTACACCACCTGTTATAGAAGTAATTTACAACACATAGGAACATTATTTACCCACTTTTAGTTACCAGTACACGACAAGAGATTTTTTTGGGGGGGGGGGAATTCGCCGTTTTCCAGCGCACGATTACAATACTTCCTTTTCCTACAAAGTCAGGACGAGAAAGTAAAGAAGAATCAATATGGCTGTAAGAAGTAATGTACTTAAGCTTCCAGGTCAATAACCCAATTTCGATTAGGTTTTTGTTCAGTTTCCCTGATCCATTGAGAGAATGCTCAGATGGCGCCTTGTTTTGATTTTGGACATAGATGTCGCTTTCCTTTTGCTAGTAGTGATAGGAGTAGAGCCGGGGGCGTAGGTTACTAGTTTGTAAGTAATACTAAAAAATAAAATATGAAGAAAAAATCAGTTGTTTATTATTCGGGAGAGAAAATGTCTAGTTTTCAAATGTTAACTTATCTTTTTTGAAACTAAAAAAGTTTCGAAAACATCCATTGTTAAAATGTTGGAAAGAGTCTGGAGCTGAAGAAAATGTACGCAGAAGGTACTTATTCATGATACTTACAGGTTTTACTGTCCTTTGACAAAATAATTCCAATCAAATGAATAGTAGAACGCAGTTTAAATTCTTTAATTCTAAAGTTTTTTTTCATATTAAAATTTACTCTTATCAGTACTAATAGGCTAACTGAAGCGATTTTTGGAAAACCCTGAAAGTGCTACTTGGTGAACATGTGATGTAATAGCTAATGTTGCCTCTAATTCACATGACTCATGAAGAAATCGAATGTATTCGCTAGGTATCAAATTCTCTGGTATGTGCTAGAGCCGTTTAGGCACCCCGAGTTCTCGGAATCCAGTAGCGTGAGCATCGAAGATTAGATCCCAGAAAACGCACGTACGTGAGCACAGCCTGCCCGTAAGAGTACTTTCCATGTCCCTGCCCCGGGAGAAGGGAGTTCGATAGGACTTTTCAGGGCTGTCCTTCCCGTCAGGACTGTCCGTAGATTTATCATAACCTTTCGTCTTTTATTCTTTTTTACAAAATAATTTTGTACTAAGATACGTTTCTTCGTAATAAATCTGTATTTTTCAATTATTTTACTAATTGATAGTGTACTTAATTGAATCCCACAGTGCCTTTCCAATTCAGCTCCTGTAGCTTGCCTCCAATCATCGTTGTACATTCCTCGCGCGCGTTGCGGCCAACAATATTTAACCCTTCCGCCTTTGCCGATCTCGAGTTTCGAAACGTGCGACTGCCCGGCCGCGAGCGCGAGGTCGACTTGCAGCCCAAACACGCAAGGGCAACTGCCGCCTTCACTCGAATGGCGAACCGAAATTACGGGAAACTTACCCATTTGCATCGCCATATGTTGTTTCAAAAGCACCATGATCAGGTCAGATTTTAATTTTTTATTGCCTTTGAAGAAGTTATATTCGAGAAATCTTTTTTTGGCAATCCATAAACCAAATATAATTCATAAATTCCCAAGTTTCTATTTTGGTTCAGATGCACAAACTTTATAACGAACTTTCGAAGACGCGAGGAAATGTAAATACTTATCATAATCCCTTAATTGTGCTTGATATGGTATTAATTATCTATCAATTTTTGTTTGGTGGTTGAATTGTTTCGTAGGTGGATATTAACACAAAATTCCATTATGTTTGGATCAAAATACATTTTTTCCTTGTGTTGGGGTTGACTTTTTAAATTCTGAAAAGTGGCCTAAAATTAGCGTCTTTCGTTAAACAAAATTCGCTCGTTTCGGTGGTATAAAATGTTTATGTGATGGTATTAGCTTTCCCAGATCCATTTTTGAAATCTAAATTAGAGGGATTTGCGTGATACAGAAAAATTTGTTTTTGATTCCGCTAAGTAACCCAAAACTATAGTGTAAGAATTTTTGAAGTTTAATAACAGCCATTTTTATAAAGAAACGAAGGTAAACCCTAATATTTCCCAAACTGATTATTAACCCCTTCTGAAGTTAATATGGTGAAACATCTTTTAATAACCTGAAATTATTATAGGAAATGATGGGTATTTCAGCGATGTGCTATTTATTTACTGAGTGCTACATTCACTTGTTCATGAATTACCCCATTACATCCAACAGACCGTAGGATACCAAGCGTGCAATTCACTCGGGTTTTTGCAGCCTTACCGTACAAATAGTGCAGTTTCTTTTATCAATTTACTGTTCGTTTTTCGACAGCGAAAATTGGGCAGCTTGTCTCGATGTGTGCCCGACGAAGAAAAGGGATTCTTGTTCTTATTTATTATATAAGATACTGTACCCAATATAACTGTCTATATTGTCTTTTGGAGAGGCAACAGCCAACTCAAAATCATTTCAGACCCCAGCCAGTGAAGCACTCACTTCATTTTGTGAACCTTATGGCGGGTTTACAGAAATAACATTTAATCCAGCTGGCGATCCCTCCGACACAAAAATGTACCGACATCAGTACGTGGCTACGAACAAGGCCAAGCATTTGTAAAGATAAGATGGCCAAATCGGGATCTGTTCAAGAAAAACATTTTCACCAGAAAAACATGTTCAAGTCTGCAAATGTAACTTCTGCTAATTAAATATCCATAAATCTGTCAGAAAACATTTTAAGTGCATTCACGTCCATTCCTACGTCCCCTGTCGCAAGTTTCCGTAAGTTACGTTTGTAAGGCGTTCGAGGAGGCTGCATCTTAGAACAAGTGAACATGACTTGCAACCCATAATCAGCATATAGTTAAAAGTTCATTATTTTAAATTAAAATATGAAGAGAACACTGAACTTTACCAGAATATCCTGGTGCACATTTACACACATAATCGTTGGATCCCATTGGCTGAAAACATATGCCATTTTTGCAGTCATGATGCTGGCATGGGGATGTCTGTGGGTACAACATTGCTACCATTGGCGCTATTTCACAGTATTTGCCGGTCAGGTCTCCCGGGCACTTACAAACATAGTCATTAACTCCGTCAATGCAAGTAGCGCCATTCTGGAGGGGCAGATTATAAAACATAAGATCAGTGAACTTCACAATTTCTACATTGGAAACTACCTACTAACGTATATTGGATGCATGTTGCGAAAATTAATAAAAACAGACAATACTTACTTGGCATATGTTGTTGACACAATCATCTACATTTACTGAACAGTTTTCTCCTGAATATCCAGGAAGGCATTCACATTTGTAGTCAGTAATTATATTAACACACTGAGCTCCATTTTGGCAAGGATTATATTCCAATGTGCAAAATGGAATTTTGGTCTCACAGTATTCGCCTGAAATAGAAGATTAACAACACATCAATTAATGACAGGAACTTCATAACTACTCACAACTCAGCTTTATACATTCTCATATTTGAATAAAAATCAATACATCGCACGAGGAACGTGCTGTGGGTGGGCTGTGGCCTATTATTTAACTAGTTTTCAATAAGTGTGTTGAATTTTTACATGTACCTTTCGATATGAAGAAGGTAACTTTTATAGAGTAATTCTAACGGAATAATAAGTAATTCTTACGGAGAAATTGAAGGATACATAGTAGTGTTCGAGGCAGTAAAAGATAATTATATAATTTACGAATGGAGTAACGTTTCAAGGTATTTGACCGAGAGCAAGAAATAATGTATTAAAAAGTACCAGGACTCCTTTTTTATGTACTACGTTAATTTAGTTTTGCAAAAGTTTAAAATCTTAGCAAGGTAAACCTGGTTTGTTATCGATAAACAAAAATTCGTGAATTTTGTGGTCTCACAATTGGTAAAGTACGTATAATTTATTATTTTATAAATTTGTTTTCATATTGAACCTAACAAATAAAACACGTAAACTTACATGTTACAATTAACACATATCAACAATTCTGTGGTGACCGTTTCTCGGAGACGCTTAGATGCGTAGGACGGGCCGCGCGCGACAAATGCCTACCCTCGCGAATTCGGGCAAAGACTTGGCCACATTGATGGGCCAAGTGGCCGACGGCCCTAAAGGGTAGTGGCAGTGAATGGCATTATTCGTGGAAGCGAGTGCAGGGGAGAGAAGGGTGAGACGCGGTGGGTGTCGAGGGAGGTACTCTTGCAGAAAAATGTGAACGGGAAGAAGGCGCACTCTTCTCCTGGTAGGGTTGTTCACAAGAATTCCATTACGACTTTTCGAAACGACATCCAAGCAGCCATTTCAATACTATTCAAAATTGCCACAAAGTCATGATTCTTCACAAGCGATATCATTGAGGATCCTATAAATACACCCTCTATTATTTTCGCATCACTGAACTTCCGAAATTTGTTCTGGGAAACCAGGCCTACTTTTATTCATTATCTTCACAAAGTGTTTCGTGAATCCGAGTTTAGTGTGATAAACGTGTGCAGCATTTCAAGGGATTGCGAAGTTGCATTTTTGACCAGGAATCTGATATCGTTGAAGCCAGTACGTCTTCACAAAATGATTTTTGTGATGTCTGCTATCCCACTCGCATAGAAAACAGCAAAATTTAGAATGTCCTTGTTGGAGACCTAACAAAAGTGCGATAACTTTCAAATCGCCGTATATGTTCCACGACGCTGCTGGTGTTGTGTCCTCAAAAACAAAAGTTTCTTATGGGCTGCATACGCAAGAGCTGATTTCTTATCACCCATATGAACAAATGCAGCTTTTCTACTGAGTTTAGAGTAATCTATAAACAACATTCATTTCTCAGGATCGTGATTATCTCCCACATCAGTCAGTAATGCATCAACATCAGTTGGGTTAGTGATAGTGAATGGTCTTCATTGTCTTGCTTGTGATTTCAGGAACTTGGTAATGCAGAAATAACAGCCCGTGAGGAGGTCCTTTCGTTCCCTTCTTACCATGAGATTTTCAAATGGCATACGTCGCAACTTTCAGTTAGGCCAGCTACTAAGTAATGTTACGTACGAAAAGCCAATATGTGGGGGGGGGGGCGATTTGTCCTGATCACCGGTTTGACACCCAACGAGCAATTCATATGCCTTTCTTATTAGGGTAGTAATACTCCGTCTTTGGCTCTTCGAAGTTACTTCAAAGTCACACAAATAACAGAAATTGTTTGGATGTTTTACACACTGCCGCGGTATTGCAAGAAATCTGTTCGTACAAAAATTAACGCTAGAACACAACGAATAGATCGTTCGTACACTATACAGAAATATCAACACTTTTCTTGTTCGACACGCACGAAGCAAAACAATTTCAGCACTTTTCACCAAAGAGGTCTGAGTTCGATTGCTATCGATTCCCGAACAATCCCGTGTGAAATTTGTTCCAACAAAACGAGTTCGGCTGCTTCACAGGGGCTAGTCCAACCCCTGTGAAGTGTCCGAACCCTACCGCTATCCTAATTTCTTCCCAATTCTGGCCGTTGGGTAGTGATGCAGGAGGGTGTAGAAGGAGGCACGTACGCGGAGATGCTACCTAGCGGTCCTCTTGACAACTGACTGCGACATATAATGACTTTTCCAGATAAAGGAGGATTACTCCCAAGCGCAAATCGCTCAACATCCAGCAAGGGGCTTGGAGACGGGTTGCGCCAATCCAGACGCAACAAATTAAAAAACATTTAGTGACCCATGTACACCAAGCGGAGAATTGGGGCGGCGTTGCAGTTTACTTGTCAATATCTCAAGATCTTCAAGCAATTTGAACGGTCTGGCATCTATTTCATTTCTTGAGTGGAATCAAAAATATACATTGTTGGCGATCACCCCCTTGTAATATATCTTGAAGCAACTAGCGTTTCAGCATAAACTAGCGAAGAACTAGCTATCTTCGAAATATTTGTAGTTTTAGTATGTGTGCGATTACACAAAAACAGAGCTCAGTGGGAAATTTTTGTGGGTGTATTCGGGTTTAGTGTAGAAAATTATATAAAAAAACAACTGCAGTTAGTCATTTAACAAAACCACTATCGACCAGTGCTATCGAATAGAAGTATTGCTTACCTATCTCATCAGGTGACCGTGTACGTTCACACAATTGACTGTATTCTTAGCAGTGCTAAGCTTAGTAGTAAATTCCTTTGTCAGGTCTTTCTTGAATTTTTTCCTCGTTGATGTCAACATAAACGTCTTTGCGGAACCTCCGAGCATGCGTTTTGCGTAGATCATTTGTAACTCCTGCCATTCTAATAACTCGATGACGTCTTCAAATTCGGAGAGCCACCGTTCAACTTGGACGCCTGAAACTTCATCTACCCTAGCCATCATCAACACTGTACAGGTGTGCTGGGTTCTGTTCCGTCGACGCCGCCGCGTCTGTCGCGTGATCCGTACGCGACACGCGTGTCGCGCGCTCCTCGAGCGAGCAATTTACGATCGTGCGTTTCCGCTTCTACGCCAGTCACGCATCTCGCGAATGTCATGCACAGTTTAGACAGTCCGATGCATTTTGCAACTGCTTGTTTTATATTATGGATACATCATTGTCCATTGCCTCAATAATTAGTACAGAGTTTTGTAATAGTTTCAGATGTTACGTTACTTATCTACTTTGTTGTAACACACTTTTACAAGAGTGTAATACATTAGTATAGGAATAGCACTATAATTGTACGTATTGTTCTTTCTTTAAGATTTCAAGACAGTCAAGATTCAATCTGATGTGTACGGTAAACAAAACGAGAAAGAAAGGCTACGGTACTTAGTACATACTATTTTAAACATTCAATTTTCTAATATACTTACCCATGAAACCAGGTTGGCAGTGACATTCATAGGATTGTATTAGATCAACACACGTAGCATTGTTTTCGCATTTGTTATTAAGACAGTCATTTATGTCGGTTTCACAGCGATCGCCAGTATAGCCAGGTGGACAGTGACAACTGAAATATAAGATGCATGTATATTATGAAGAACCTTGTAATACACAGCATTTCAACACATCAAAAACATTTATTAAAAAACGTATTTATTTTTTATCGTAAGTTATAGAAGTTGAACAACTAAATCTAAAACAACGTAATTCATACGTAGCAACCTTTATAGTTTATTCACAAAATACTTTCGGATCAATATAATAAACTTTAAATAGAAGAAAATTTGTTAATTTAGTTTGCTCAGCGTTTCGGTTCCCTTAGTGGACCTCGTATTCCTGTTCAAATCTTCACAATGGTTAAAATCTGAGGAGCATATATTTGGGAAATATATTTCTTCAAGAACAAAAAACATGACATACAAGGTTATTACAAATGATTCATTGGATTTTAAATCTTTATTTTTCAGAAATCATTATAACATAAAGATACATTGATTCAACTGTTATCTTTTCCACTTTTTGTCATAGAAGTTCCATATGTCCATATGTCCTTTTCGTGACACGAGATGCATCTATACACCTGTAAAAGTCATTTCTAACTTTTACAAATAAAACAAAAATGAATAAACTTAACTAAACATATGCAGAACATACAGAAAAAAGAATAATATTTCACACAAGCTTGCCTTGATTACATTGAAGTGAGCTAACAATTTCTGAGTACACAATCACCGAACAAAACTTCTTAAAGAAAAAGAAATTTATATATTAAATCTACGTTTAATATGTTACCTTCTTTAAATCTATTTCCTTTCACAAGATTGTTATCTACATCGCACAATTAACCCAATGGGTAACAATCATAAAATCCCGAAACTTTCCAGCAGCCGTAGTGCCATTTTGCGAACGACATTTTGACACTGCGTCAAAAGCGCAGGAAATTCGAATTTACCATTTTGAATATATTTTCAATTTTTGAAAGTACAAAGAGGGCGCCGAAAATGGAACCAGCACCATTCTTTACCATTCGTTGCTAAAAATATTAAAGAAAAACATTGGAACCATTTCTGAAAAAAATAATATTGTTTAAACTTTTTAAAAAATAGAAAAATTGAACATGACTTTATTTGAAGATATTTCTGATGAACACATTTTATTAACAAAAAAAAGTACCTTCAAAATTGTAATAGACGCCAAACATTTTTTGAAAAATGTGAGATTTCATTGGAAATGAGACCTGCACCATTCTTTTAAGTATCTTTTTCGCTATCAGAGAACAAACTTAATAAAAAAATGGTGTTTTCATTGAATATTTTTAAAAAGTCCTTGGGGATTCATGTAAAGTACTCCTCAAAACTAAAATATCGGTTTCAAATTCAAGAGGCCGCGACAACAGCCAGATCAACTGCAGAATATCAATTTTGGTGAAAATTCTGCTGACGGTTTAGCCACTAGTGTTGTTCATAGGCAGACTGGCAGACATTTTGCAGTCAGTCGATTATTCGGTAACAAGGTCCCACAAAACATGGTTTCTGACGTGTTAGAGTAAGTAATTTACTATATACAGCGACAATATTTATCCACTTTTTCGTAACCACGGCCCGGTAATAAGAGTATATTGTCGAAAATTCGCCGTTTTTTTCGGCATTACATTTTTATTATTACAGTGGATAGACAACGAATTAGGAATTTCCATAAATTCTTATATATTATTGCTTCTGATTAGTTTGGGTATTACATGTATAAAGCTCTTACCATATTTCAAAAGTAATTGTGTATTTTGAGACAATGTACTTATTTTCACTTACTTGTGCCATCTAATACACCATCTTTTGCTTTAATAACATCCATGATGTACCTTGGCATGCTGTTGACACTTCGTACAACAAATTCCACAATAGCCACATTATGTTGCCACACTAGTTCCAGACGCCATTTAAGTTCATAAATATTAGAGAACATTAGACTACTGACTATATTATTCATAATATTCCATATCCCTGGTATGCGTTGCTGTTGGTATTTTTCCTCCCGATCCAGGTGGTGCTGTTGTTGTAGCTGAATTTGTTGTTGCTGCTGCTGTATATGTTGCTGCATAAGCATTATCACGTTTGCCATCTGCTCGCCGGCCTCCATCTTGTTTTAACCTCGTTGCCAGTTTTGTTGTAACCAAAAAGTTCAAAGTTCGTAAAATTGATCTTATTTGAGTTTATACAATTCCAAGAGAATTCCATAAAAGAGTGAAGTTGACAAAATAGCTAGGAGATATACTGGCTGGGGACGTGCCAGTCCCACCAAAGTCCAAAAAATGTCCAAAAAACTGTAACGAGTTCATAAACAACATCTAGCAGAGAAGTCCGTAATGAACAGGCAGCGTCGTCTCTCTCATCATAATCCACTTGTACTCTCCTCACAACTCGCACTACGCCAGGATGACTCGAACCGTCTCCTCAGCTCGGCGGGGGCCGCTTTTGGCCTGGTAAGTATACTCCTTCACATGACCAATACATTGGTTTTCAATTGTAATTTTATGTTCTATCCAATTTGAGATTAATTTTGGTTTTGTTGGGATCATCGTTAGCCTCACTTCAATACTTTTTTGATATATGTCATTAATCATTTGTTGACGTTCTGCCATGTTTTTAAACAGTACTATATCGTCTGCGTAACGTAAATTGGTTCATATTTTGCCAGTTATGTTTAAACCGTAATTTTTGTCTATCCTGTTAAGTTTTCTAAAAATATATTCCAGCACACTGATAAACAATTGTGGTGAAATTGGGTCCGCTTGTCTTTTTACATCGCTTTGTATTTTAAATTTTGGGCCAATCATATGAGTTTTCTGAGAATTTTGTAAATACACACATACATACATACATACATACATACATACATACATACATACATACATACAGGTGTCCCATTTCACTTGACAACTTGAAATAACTCAAACAATACGCGATGTACGAAAAATTGAGCCGAGACCAAATCTTAACAGTTTTCAAGGATGAATGATTCTATGCTAAAATCAGCACCCCCTGCCCCCAGCGGGTAGGGCGGTGGGCAACAATGAAATATTAAATAGGAATCCCCATTTTTATTTCAGATTCGGATTCTACGGACAAAAATACATACGTTTTGTCTGAATTTTCCCCCCCTGATTTTTGAGAGGTGGCGCTTTAATCGCAAAAATTTGATTTCCGAAGATTTTCGACTGTAATTTGAGTAATTTTATTTTTTTTTTGTTTGGAGCGAGGTCGATTATTTCTGAGTGGTTAATAAAAATTAGTATTTTCTACGGAAGTCAATAAACTACTTTTAGCGTAAACCAGGAACAATGACGTGGACGTAGTTGTTTTCTGCTCCCTTCGGGGTGCTTGTTTTCAGTGAGTCCCCTTGCCTCTCACTATCGGAGTGTTGGTTTTAGATGATTCTACAAATACCTCAGCATTTATTTAAAGTAAGTGCTCAAAATGATGGCCCGGAATCTCAATGCATTTATTGATTCGTCCTACAAATGAACAAACACAACGCATAAGCATATCTGGTGTAATCGCGGCACAAGTGGCCTTTATCCGTTGCATCATGTTTTCATGAGTAGTAGGTAATTCTTTATAAAAGACATCTTTTAGGTAACCCCACAAAAATAAATCTGGTGAGATAAGATCTGGTGATCTGGCTGGCCAGTGCACTGGTCCTTCTCTACCGATTCAACGATTATTGTAATCCCGATCCAATACCTCGCGTGCTACTAATGAGGTAAATGAGCTGGGCAACTCATGTTGAAACACAGGTTTGTTCGACTTCAAATTTCCGTCTTACGAGCATTCTCGGTAGTTTTTTTTTATCAAGAAGGTTGCGGTACTTGTCCCATTTGATTAACCGTCATAAGGTATGGTCCGATATGTTTATCGGCCAATTTTCCACACCAACGTTAACCGACCAAGGTCGCTGATGAGTTTACTTGACGAATCCAGTGTGGGTTTTCTAAACTCCAAAAGGATTCATGTTATGGCTGGTTAACTTCGCCGTGCGTTTTGTAAATGTCGATTCATCAGAGAATAGCACTTGGAGTAAAAAAGTTTCGGATTCGTTTGTATTCTCTGAATGCCCAATGCAAATGTAGATGCGGTTTTGAAAGTCAATTGTCCGTTAATTTTCCTGATGCAAGGATATGATATGGTGAAAATTTAATGTATCTTCAGTATCCTTCAAACACTCATAACGAGGAATCCCTGAATTGGTTTGAGATGTTCTCGAGACACTCGCATGTGGATTTATGAGTCTATTGCTAGCAGCAGTACTGATATTTGATTATTTTCTCAGTAGCAGAAACTATCGTGTTCTTTTCTTCGATTGTAACACTTCCGTCAGTAGAAGAATTGTTTGACAATTCTAACGAAGAAGAACTTGCGATGTACTCTGTCAGCGAAAACCGTTGAAGCATACAAATTAACCAGCAGGTCGAAATTTCTCCTAGCTTAGCCGTAAATGAAATGCATTTCCAATTTTTTAGTGCACATTTCATAATCCATAATGCAAAAGGAAGGAATGTGTAGGTAGGAAGTAAATGTTTATAAATATCGGATCGCCTCTCAAGTACTGTAGGCACGGACCATGGAGAGACGCTACCAACAAATTGACGGGTGTTCCCTGAGGCCACACTCAAAACTACTCCAATTACAGTCGGAAATCTTCGGAAATGATATTTGCGATTACAGCTCCACCTATCACAAATCAAAAAAAGTTTCAGACAAACTGATGTATTTTTGTCCGTAGAATCCGAATCTGAAATAAAAAATGGGGGTTCCTATTTGAGATTTCAATGTTGCCCACCACCCCACCCGCTGGGGGCAGGAAGGTGCTCATTTTAGCATAGAATGATTCCCTCTTGAAAACCGTTAAGATTTTGTCTCGGCTCAATTTTTCGTACATCGCGTATTGTTTGAGTTAGTTCAAGTTATCAAGTTCAATGGGACACCATTGAACCATATATAAGAAGAATTCTAATGTATGTGTGACCTCACATGCTCTACAGAATCGAAAGCCTTTGTGCAATCTGTAAAT